CCAAAAAAAAAAAAAAAAAAAACGCGATTACCATGATTTTATGTTTTTTCCTCTGGGAAAACAACCCCTACACTGTACATCCAGATAGTGTGATGGTAAGAGTGAGGTATAAACCAAACAGCTCATCTTTGTCAAGGGAGAGTCGGTTATGTTCCTCCGGGTCTGATCTCGGGCCCCTTATTCTGTTGCAGGTCGTGGTGATCTTCCTTTTCCTGGGCCTGCTGGGGGTCAGCCTTTATGGGACCACCCGAGTGCGTGATGGGCTGGACCTTACAGACATTGTGCCTCGGGAAACTAGAGAATATGACTTTATCGCTGCACAGTTCAAATACTTCTCTTTCTACAACATGTATATAGTCACTCAGAAGGCCGACTACCCGAATATCCAGCACTTACTTTACGACCTTCATAAGAGTTTCAGTAACGTGAAGTATGTCATGTTGGAAGAAAATAAACAGCTTCCCAAAATGTGGCTGCATTACTTCAGAGACTGGCTCCAAGGTAAGATGCTGCTGGAGGGCCCTTGTCCTTTGTAAATATTCACCATTTGGTCTGTGGTGTGTTCAGCTTCTACAAGTTCCCTTTGTTCACTTCATTAAACTGTTAGATTATAATGTAACACTGACATGTTTCATTGACTTCTAATTGTTGCTTAAAATTCTTACATAGCCTCTTTATGGGGCAGCTCCCAAATCTGGTTTTTACCTGTAAAACGATGCAAACAGTTCAAATGGCTGATTCAGGAACTTCTGTCCGAATTTATGAGTACACAGAATAAATGAACAGATGTTCTTAGAATCACTGAATACATCCATATTCAGTCAGCAGTTAGGAGCAGCTTTAGGCCCTCTGTCTCCAGTCGACTACTATTTCCTAGAAATGTTTCTAAGAGCAAGGTGAGAAGCTGAGAAAGGCATTTTAAAGCAGGAAATGGGAAAGTAGGTTATAAAATACGGAGCTGGATGCTTCTCGTACACTTTTTTTTTTTTAATGGTGGCTGGTTTGGTGACCAAGTGAAATCCAAGTGTTAATGGAATTTCTAGGCTGACTCACTGCCAAATTGTAACTTACTACATCAGTAGTTTTGCGTCATTGGTGAATATAATTTAAAATTCCGTATTTTGACCATCTTTTGACTTAACATAAGAAGGAAGCTTAATTGCTTGATCACATCTCATAGTATATCATAAATAATCAATTTCTGCTTTAAAATGCCTTCTCAGCTTCTTACCTTGCCCTTAGAAACATTTCTAGGAAATAGTAGTCAACTGGAGAGAAAGACGGCCTAAACTTGCTCCTAACTGCTGACTGAATATGAATGTATTCAGTGATTCTAAGAACATCTGTTCATTTATTCTGTGTTGACACATGCAAAGTAAAGTGGAGAATCAAGATAATTATCCACACAATTCAAGCAAAAATACTCTTACTGAAATACCCAAATAATTATGGCCCCAACATTTTTTGGCTTAAGTTATCCAAATGATTGTCTTAATTTCCCACTTAATTAGGCTTGTTTAAACACAGATTTAAGTGCCTTTTTTGGTCTTAAGTCAATACACTTGTATGTAAAGATTAAGCAGCCAATTTCCCTGTGAGTTTGCATGAAATGGTAAACAACTTGAATTTGATTGAAAATTCTTCAGTACAGTTTCTGTCTTTGACTCATGTTCCTAGAATTTTGTTCGTGCATGTATACCAGATTTGACCTCTTTTTCTGAGGAAGGCAAAGAGACCTACATGACATTAACATTATTTTTTAACATGCTCGTGAGATTAACTTGAATTTGTTCCCAGTCTTATTTTTTACAGTAGTTTGGGAAGCAGTGGGGCTTTTTTTGTTTTTGTTTTTTTTTTTCAGATGATGAATCAAAAGAGGAGGAGAAAGTTGAGAGATTCCCTGCTTTTCATTTTTCCCCCTTTGGCCAAAGACATGCAAATAACTTGCCACAAATAACAAAGAGATCTGCAGAGCACTGCCAGTATCTGAGCAAAGAAGGGTTATCCTGGAATTGATTTCAGTGTCTTCGGCCATTCCTTTGAATGTTCAATATGGCATGTTAGGCGGAGCTTTGGAAGAGGGTAGAGGGGCATTGTCTCCAGGCAGTGCAAAGGGCTAACCTTTTTATAGCCTATTGTAAATTATCCCCATGCTTTCATCCCTTTAAAGACCTAAAGCAGTTGGACTTGGGAATCTTTTTAAAAGGTGCATTTGAATCATAGTTTGTTTGCTAAGTGAGCAGCACCCACCTAGACCAAGTAAGATCCATTCATGCCCACTGGTCAGCGTCCCAGCCAGCCCTAGACCTCTGCATCTGACTCCACCAAGGTCCAGCGGAGCAGTGTACATGGGATGGCCAGATACTGGGACCACCGGCTGCCTAGACATTTTTCAGGCCTGTTGAGTGGTTGATTTGGTCTTTGAACGTTTCCTCTTAGGAAGTAGCTATCCTTGAGTCAGCTTTCCTTCAAAGCACTTTGTGTGGTTGCTGAGTGATGGGACCCTCATTAGTTTTTAATGGAATGACCATTACAAACCATGTCATCCCATTGGTCTTTAGCAACATTCCAGTAGTTTTTTTTTGGAGGGGGAGGGATTTACTCATAAAAATGTATAATGGTAATACAGAAATTATCTCAGATGTCACCTTTAAGCATACATGCAAATAAGGTGACCTTGGAGATAAAAAACACACTGTACACATGGTATTTGTTTATATTTCACACTGAAATATGCAAATAAAATTTAGATGAGCATTTTCTTTTTAGCATCCTGTATCAAAGAAAAATTGGCAATTGAGATAATTAACTCAGAACTTCACACTAGAAAATAATTTCTAGTATAAAATATTTTAAATGAAAAAGTTCTAGCTAAAACTTTAATGTTTTGCCATAAAATAAGTGAAACGCCACAGTTCTTTCCTACGGTATGTGTGTGTTGGAATGTGAAATATTTGGCCAAGGGAAGAAGCAAATCCTTGTTCCTTGTTTTGTGTCAAGACTGTATAGTGTGCGTGCACTTAGGCCAAACCATTGTTACTTGAGCCTTTTGATAATTAATCAGAAAATAATACACTAATTATGAAAGAACTTAACTTTTCTGTGAAGTCGGTGATTATTTCTCATTCATCGTGAAGCCCCCAGCAGAGTGAATGGCAAGTAGGGGGCCAGCAGCGTAGGTGATGAGTTGAGTGGAATTGCCAACAGGGTTGACCTCCCCAAATCAGATCTTTCTTTCCTTTTTTCACTCTAGGGTGTCCCCAGAGCCTTAGAGTATAAATATCTTAAAACCGCACTCAGATTTTTGGGGCCCCCTATTTGCCACCAGATGTCATTGGTGCCCACGTTAACTCTGCTATCAACAGATGTTTGTTTCCTGGGCACCATAGTGCATTCAGGGCGATTTAGAGCATTCATGGTTCCAGCTGACTCTGGAAGAGGCTGCCTGGGTTCAAAGCTTAGCTCCAGCACTTACCTGCTGGGTGACTTTCCTCAAGTTACTTCACGTTCCCAAGCCTCATCTGTAAAGTGGGAACCATCATACTAGTAGGCTATCTCATGAGGTCGTTTTAAGAATTAAACGAGGGGTAATCAATGTAAAATGCTTAGACAGCCCCACACTCACAGTAAGCATGAGCTCTGCTCCTCAGGATAGCAGGTCAAGAGGAAAGGGTTAAAGTGTCATACAAGCCACAAAGTGATGGAAATTCTATTATGGTGAGGAAAACAAAACAGGCCTCTTTTCTGGTAGGGGTTGTTTTTTTCTCTCCTGTTTATTTTTTTCAAAAACAGGGAAAAAAAGGCTTTAGGTAATAAAATAACATCTGTTCAGTACTGATGGTTGTATGCATGCCTCGCTGTGAAAAACAGTCTGTGTGAGAGGGGAGCGCAGCCATCCTGGTGGTCTCCCCGCCCGGCCCCGCGGCCACTCCACGTTCCCGAACAGGGCTGCCTTTCACCACCGAGCCCGAGGCCCTCATCCCCAAATTGTTCCTGTGAAAACAACGCCCACAGCAATGTCGGAAGGAAGATTTAGTTGGGACAGAGAGAGAGAACAGAGAGAGAGAGAGTCCTGTGTTCTCTTCTCCCCACAACTTCAAACCCCAAGAGTTTAACCATTTTGAGTACGAACGGAACCAGTTCTGTGTGTTGCGGGGAACGGGGGCGTGTCGTGAAATGAAACAAACCCTCCTCCCTCCTTACTGGCCACGTCTAACCCGTGCACGTGCATCTGGTTCAGAAGATGTGGCTTCCTGGGCTGCTGGGGCTTGGGAGCTCAACGTGGGAGGTGGTTTGGGGGAGCAGGGCGACGGAAGAGGGGGGGTGTCAGAGGAGAGTGTGTGCAAGCCAGCAATTGCTCAGACCCGAGGGCCGGGTCACCAGGGCCCTGTTTGCTCTTCCAACACGCTTATCTCTTTACAGCTGTAGCCAAACCGTCAGGTCTGTAATGATGGTTTTGATTACAGAAGCCAAGCGCAGCTGTGTGTGGTGGGCTGGTGGGCGCGCCCATCCCCCGAGGCCAGAAAGCTCTTTCCTTCCCCTCCTTGGCCTTGCGGTTTGTCATCTGTTCTCACAGAGCCCCCTTCTATTGGCCTGTGGCTTCCTGTTCTCAATCTGATCCAAATTTACCCTGTGAGGTATTTCCCTGCACAGGGTCCCTCCTCCTCTCTCCTCCACAGCCCCTCTTGGAGGAAGGGTGGCAGAGAGGAATAGAACAGTCCAGAGTGAATAGGTGTCGGCTGTGATCTTTACACAACCTGGCAGCCGATCCCACAGCTTGTATTAGCTCCACAAGTCGGACAGATGGAACAAATTGACAGAACCATGTTCACTCACCCAGGGCTGGAGAAGCAACTGAGTTGCTGTTTGAAGTTGGGAGTTTGAATGTGTTTTCCCTGCTCTGAGTGGAATTTCTGGTTGTATCGAAGAACCCATGGCTTAGCACCTGGTGTGGCACGAAACACGGAATGGGCCTGGCGTGTCTTTCTCACCCAGCCCTCTTGCTTTTGTCGTGGGGGAGAAGAAGGGGAGTTTGGGGGCTGTTTGAGGTAAAACATGTGTATTTGTTTCCTAGAAATGAATACTCTGCCCTTCTGCCTTTGAGGCAGTGATTATCAGCAATTTGGAAGTTCATTCACGGAAAAGATCTAATAGTGTCACGTGAAGTCAAATACAGATAGAATACAGAGTGTTCGGGGTTGATGGCAAACACTCCGCTGTCCTCAGAGCACCCTGTTAGGACCAGGATCATTCTGGATAAGAGTTCTAACGTATTACACACATTTGCCTTTTCTAGGACTTCAGGATGCATTTGACAGTGACTGGGAAACTGGGAGAATCATGCCAAACAATTACAAAAATGGATCAGATGATGGGGTCCTTGCCTACAAACTCCTGGTGCAAACCGGCAGCCGTGATAGCCCATCGACCATCAGCCAGGTACACTCACCGCCTTACACCATGGGAGCTTCGGAGAGCGTC